ATATATATGTAAATGTTCACAGAAAGCTTGTAGTGTTATTGGGGTGTATGTGCGGACACGTGTGTGTCCATGTAGTTATTTTATTTTTATTTTTTATTTTTCAATTATAATTGACATACAATATTATATTAATTTCAGGTGTACAACATAATGATTAGACATTTATGTAACTTACAAAGTGATCATCCCAATAAGTCAAGTACCCATCTGACACCAGACATGTTATTACAATATTATTGTCTGTGTTACCTATGCTGTACTGCCATGTAGTTATTTTATATAAATGGCATCAGGCTGCATGTATTATTCTTCATCTTGCTTTTTTCACTCAACCCTATAGCATAAGAATCTTTCCTTCCATGTAGAATTTGGGGGTATAGACATTCTTAGTTTTAACAGATTGCCAAAGAGCTGTCTAAAGGGGTCATACAATTTATATTTCCACCAAAGCATGTGAGATTATCTATTTCACCACACCCTTGCCCACACTTGATATTTAAATGGTTAAATCATATATATATAATATTTGTTAACTCTAGTCATCTTTTTTCTAATTATTGGGATGTTTTGACTTCCTGTTGTCTACCATATAACATCATTTCTCTCTGAAGGGCCACAATTTTTCACAAATGTGATGTCCTAATATTAAGTGGACCATGATCTGGTCCCAGCCCACAGCCCAGTCTTCTCTACAAATGTCCGTCACTCTCTACTCATCCCCAGGCCCATTAGCTCCCTGTGCCTTGGACACACACGTTTTCCTATTCTGTGTTTTGCCTCAGAGTGCACCTGCCACCTGAATTCTGGAAGTCCCATTCTCCATGCTTATGTAGTAAAACCATTCTTAGCTTTTAAATCCCTGCTCAAAGACACTTCCTCTAGAAAGTCTTCCTTGATAACTCATATCCCAAACCATCTTTCCTTCCTCGTGTCCCCACTTATGTTCCTTTGCTTCTCTGTGACATCCTTCTGCCAACCAGAAGAGAGTGTTCTGGAAGCACCATGTGAGAGACGACTGGTACCAAGGTAGAAACAGGCAGGTGGGGCATGCCCGCACATGGAAACTCCAGTGTCAGATGCTGGCTACGTGCCCCCTGCATAACCAGCAGCCCTAAAGTTGTGAATAATCTTTTTTCCCCTCTAGCAAAGGTAGAAAATAAATATCCATGTTTTGACCTGGACGATACTCACACTAGGTAAGACCTCGATGCGCCCCGGTGGTCCCCTGGGGCCAGGGGGTCCCACAATGCTGGTTCCATCCATCCCTCTTTCACCCTGGATACAACGAGAGCAGAGAAACAATTCATTGTACATGGATAACGCTCCCAGAACCAGGCTGGACAGTCGTCGCCCCACCTCAGACCCGTGACCTCACCTTGAGTCCTGGGTCTCCTTTTTCTCCTTTGAGACCCTGGCAAACAAAGACACAAATATCTTCAGTTTTTTCTATTCACTTCACTCACTCTCTTATCTACCTATCCTTGGATCTTGCCATCTTTCCATACACTCTAGCATGGATTTTGTCCCAGGTGAGGGGGCAAATTGCCCTCCCAGAGTCAGAAGGAACACCCCGCAGACAGCGAGGAGACCAGAGCTCCACTCCCGGCACAGGGAGAGTGTCCTCTTGACCCTCAGTCTCAGAGCCCTCTGCATCTGGAGGATGGGGAAGGTCTTCCTTCCAACCATGAGGGGTGCTCCCCTCTGCAAGGTGAGGTTCCTCCCGGACTGAGTGCTCAGCTCTGGGTCGCACATGACAAAGATAATGAGCTCCCAGGGCTTGGCCCTCTAAACAGCAGGTATCAGAAGCAGACGATGGACACCTCTGACCTCCCTGGGGTAGATGCAGCAGGAGGGGCACCTGTCAGGAGCATGGGCTCTGAAATGGTCAAAGTGTATTGAATGGACAGCAAGAAGGAGGCAATGGAGCAGAGATGCTGGATGGCGAGGGACTGCAGAAAGAGAAAGGTGGATGATCTTCAGGTTTTCCCACAGGATGTTTTGTGCAAAATATCTGTACCACTTCTCAAAGAAACACTCTGCAAAGAGCGCCTAGGCTCTCACTGCACAGCCGGGAGCTGGAGGCACAGAGAGGGTGAGTTACTGAAAGTAGCAGAGCCAGGACGGCGCCCCAGTCTCCTCACTCCAGCCTGACAGCGCCACACTCCTCAAAATAAAGGTTTCAAAAGTCAACCTACATTTGAAGTCTTTGGTCCAGAGATTCTGGGTTCATGCTGTACCCTGATGCTCCCAGAGCCTTCTGTATCCTAGGGAAGGAAGAAGAACGAGAATTTCAGATCCAATTCCTGAGCTCGTATTAGCGCCAGGTGTGGTTTTGGGAGCTGGAGCTTGGTGGGTTCCAGCACAGCTCCTGCCCTCAGACCGGCATTCAATCTCCCAGTTTTCCCAGGAACCCTTAGGGCACGTTGCTCTTCAACCACAGAAAGGGTGAAAGTACCTCAAATTCAAGTCCCATCCCACAGTCAGGGCCTGGGCGCCCAGGGGGCCCGGGAGGCCCTGGGGGTCCCATGACCCCAGGAGTGCCAGCTTGTCCATCTTTCCCTCGGGGTCCTGGTGAGCCTCTGTTGCCGGGGTCACCCTGTAGGGGGGAAAGGACAGGCTGACTACCCTGGGTTCACTCACGGAAGGAATGACATACACCCTGTCAGAAAATCATTCTTTGAGCTTCATTAGATCGATGATGAGTTCTCTGATCCTTCCTGCTTAGTGGTACAGAAACAGCTGTCCGGCTAATTGACGTGGCACCTGATAGGCTGCCGCACGCATCGGAGTGCGTGTGTGGAAGGGTGAGCAAGGAGAACACATCGCAGGCCATTCGCTCCCTCCCTCTCCAGCTGTTCTGCCCCCCCCCAGCAGTTCCTTTGAGATGCGTTTCTCCCTGCTCCACGCACTGACACCTTCAATACTCTGCCCGCCAGTCCGATTATAGTAAACCCAGAGAAAGAGAAGGAGGGAAAAGCTCTTCTCTTTACCTTTTCACCAGCTGAGCCATTAGGCCCTCTTGCTCCCTGGAAAACAAACAAAAAGGGGTCAGTGGGTCAGTTTATATATCTCTCATTGGGCATGTTCAGAAGAAAATCTAGAAGCATGAACTCTTAAGCAACAGGATATCAAAATGGGACTCTTCCTGCCTCCGTTTCGGCTGATGCCTCAAAGCTGAGTGCATCGCAAGGGTTGGCAGTTGGCAGGCAAGTCATGCTGAAGGCTTGTGAGACCCGTTTTTCAACGATTAGCTCATCACCTACCTCAGGAGTAAAAAGGAGTCGAAGGTTAACCAGAGCGAGATCGTAGAGGAATTCCCTTGGAGAGCTGCCAGTCCCTTTCCCCACCCCTCCCAGGACAGAGGTAAAGGGGCACTTCCCCTACTCAAAGTCGAATGAAGGGGCTTCAAGAACTTGATATGCATTCATTAAACTTTTGGAGATATGTAGAAGGATGACTGGCTTTCTCTGGAAAAAAAAATCTAAAGACCAAAAGCTGGCTGGAGTGGCCATGTTTTGGTCTTTAGATGGGGGTGAGGTGCTGCACTAAACAGGCTGCATGTCTACCCCCAGTGGGGGGCCACAGTACAGGTTTCCTGGGGGGTTAGATGTGGAGCCCACAGAAAGGAGCCAGTTGTGAGCTCTGGGAGTCCAATTTTGAAAGCAAATGCACAAGCAAGAAGCACCACACACCTGAGGGCAGGCAACACCGTGAAAGACAGGACACAACGTCAACAACGGAACACATGCCCAGGGGAACAGAGTTAAGAACACAATCCAATCAGTGCGTGGAGAACACAATAGATATTCTCAGTGAGAAAAGGGAGGACTTTACAATCGTGAAACAAACTACTATGAAATAAGGACAGTGGTTACGGGAGAGAATCAAGTAGAGATCTTAGAAATAAAAATACATAAGTGTTGGAAGAAAGACCTCGACAGAAGGGCTGAATGACAGAAGAGACACACCTGAAGAGAGAACTCAGAAAGAACCGGGTTAGAGAGGCCCTGTGTGTAAGAGACAGTATTTGGGCCCATTTCACTGGCTCACAGATTCGGTGGCCACCACTTTGGAATATGAGCAGATCAGTTTGGGGGTGGATGAGCTCTTCTTACTGGAATTTACATGAACAGGCAGAGTGAAAAGTGGGAGCCCCAATGAAAAGCGTCAGCAAAGAGCCCCCCTCTCCCCAAATGGCGAGGGGAGAGCCGTACTCCGTCCTCCCCGAGAGAGCTGTGCGGCGAGGCTAAGCACTGTCTTGGAATCCGGCCGCACAGCTGCAAGTCCGGTGGTGACGATGAAGTGCGGAGAGATCGTTACACAACAGAAACACTGTCCGGGAGCGGGAAGGAGTGCCGCTTGCTGCAAAGTCCTGGTTTAGAGTTCATTAGGCATTTCAGCGCGTTACAGTAACTGGATTTGCTAAGGTCATTATTAGACTTCCTCATATAGGAACATCAAAAAAACCCTAATAAATACATGGATTTCCCCCCCTGTTGTGGTTTCTGAGACAGCACAGCTTGTTGCCTGCGGCTGCCTGTTGGTTTTGTTCATGGTGTTTGTTATACTGATGACTTCAACATGTTACAGTTACAAAGGACTGCAGTTTATTTAATTTTATGGAGGCCTATAATCCCGATTTTGTACCAAACATATCTGATGATGAAATAAGATATAAAATGGGAAATCAGGCCAATGTTAGAATGTTTAATTGAAATACGTTGTTACAAACTCTAACCCCATGACGACCCTAGCAGTGGGCTGCTCAGGTTCCGCACCCTGCTCTTTATTACACAAGACTGAGAACTGCTCAGACCCAAGTTGGGATTAGATGGAGAAAGGGACAGTAATGATGATTTATTTGCATTTCTCTTACATATCATGGAAAGACAGAATAACTTTACAATGCAAACAATGACACTTCGACAGCTCAGTGAGATTATTCAAAGCCAGTTACAAAGAGCTTAACGCTCCTCAGCAATTCTGGGCAATGAAAAAAGTTTCAAAGCACAAACTTTTTTCTATATGGATGTCCGGGTACCTTTTGAGACTGAAGAAGACAATGAATGATTCAGATTATGAAAGAAGGAAAAGAATGACACTGTTAATCGTAGGTAAATGCTGAAGACCCGGACAGCAGAATCAGCAGTGCAAAAAGCAGAGAGGGATTTTCCAGGAGCCCATCTCCAGTAAGCTCTTCAGCATTCTTTCCAGAAGCATCTGTATCTGAGAAAGCAGGCTGTTCCTCACCTCTTCCTTCAGGGGCTAAAGATCTCAGATTTAGTTGCTCATCTTAATTTGGGGAAAATGAATTAAGGAATACCCCTATCATGGAACTCAACATAGAATTACGTAGCTGATAAATTCTTAATAACCATTCACATTTTAATGACAAGCCTACATCTGAAAATAATGATTATATATAATATTTTCTTCCAGCCCAATAAATTGGATCTTATTCTTTGGGGGAAAACCCTATTTCAGACAACTTGCCCTACAAGTGACAACACAAGGTTATTTCCTCACAGAATGAGAAAAGGCCTCCCTACACATGTCCATGGAAGGCACTGCCAGAGCAGGAAGTGAGTCCCTTGTCACTGGAGGTATGCAAGCTGAAGAACAGATATTGTGAAGGGGAGTTAAGGATCAAACCTATCATTGGATCTTTTGTTGTGTTGTATCCCTGAGATTGTCATTTTTTTTTTTTAATCCTCACCTGAGGATATTTTTTCCATTGCTTGTCAGAGAGGGTGGAAGGCGGGAGAGAGAGAGAGAGGAACATCGATGTGAGAGAGACACATCAATTGTTTGCCTCCTGCATGAGCCCGGACCAGGGCGGGGATTGAGCCTATAACCGAGGTACGTGTCCTTGGCTGAAATCGAACTGGGACCCTTCAGTCCCCAGGCTGATGCTGTAACCACTGAGCCAAACCGGCCAGGGCAGATTGTTCCTTTTCTTTAGCATTATTTTATTCTTTTACATCTAGACCATGCTCCATGGTTTACCTTTTGTTTTATTGTGTGTGTGTGTGTGTTTTAGGTATATGTCATGTGCAAGGTTCCCCTTGAGCTCTCCAGATGCAAATTTCCAAGTTCTTCTAGAGTTTGCTTCTGCTTCTACTTCACCAGAAAGCATCATATACATAAATAGTGCAACAAATTAGGACTCAGCAAACTTCAGGGGGAAACATGTGATTTGTCTTCAACAATTATCCTGGGCAAGCCTGCCGCTCTGGGCATGGCTGCTTCTCTGAGCAGCTGCAGAGCACGCCCGTGCGGGTGTGTGTGTGCGGATATAGGTGTGGGTATTTTTAAGTGCCAGACGAGTGTGTGGGGGCGGGTGGGGGGAAGCTGGTAAGAACAGGGAAGATGAGTGTAGGTCTGTGATGTTTCCTGCAAAATTTAATTTCTTATGAAATAGTTGGTACATGTGAAATGAGTTCTATAAAGCTTGGCAATTGTTTCTTCTTTTTCTGAGAAATGAGCTTTCCACGAAAATCCAGTTACTGGTTCAATAAAAATAAACACACTTGAAAGCTGACAGCAACTGGAAATTCAGGTCAGTGAGAAGGGTGGTATCTGGGAATTTTCCACCATTTCATCCAGGTAGGGTAGACAGAAGTCCGGAGAGGGCAGTGACTGATGAGAACCTGCTGTAGGAAGTGGCCTGGGCAGGTGGGTGGAGGCTGGATTGTGGGTGGGAGTGAGGGGCACCGGTGAGGAGCCTGATGCCACAGTGTGTGTTAGGAGAGATGAATGTCAGCCCAGGATGGACGGAGAGGTGAGAAGTGTGGACGTCACACTGGCCAGTCCTGGCAGCGGACAGATCATGGCAGGAAAGGGAGAGGAGCGAGAAGTTAGAGCAGACTGTCTGAGTCCAGGTGACTGGTAGATGGTAGCACCCTTCCCTGAAGCTGGGGACATGCAGGAGTGGGCAGGGAAGATGCTGAGTTCAGGTGTGGCATAAAGAGCCTCGGATGGAGACATCAGCAGAGGACCAAGATGGGATTAGAGAGGGTCACTCACAGAAGAGGCAAGGTCAGCCTTAGAGGTCAGAGCCCTCTCTGTGTGGGCCTGGTGGCTCACGTGTGTTAGAGCCCTCCCACTTTCCTCGTACCTTCTCCCCTTTCATCCCAGGAAGGCCGGAGGCTCCATCAAGTCCAGGCTGTCCCTTGGGGCCCTGGGGAACATCAATGACAATCAGCCCACAACATCCTTGATAAGATTCAAATACAAACCCTTCCTGGAAAAGGAGGCCAGGGCCAGGAGGACCCAGCAGGCGAGGCTGGTGGGCCCAGGGCCCTGTGCCAGGTCTGCAGCAGAATGCTCTTCCTGGGCCAGCAGAGGCTGGGCACCAGTGGGCGAGGGTGGAGTTTTCTCTTCTGTGGGGGGGATCAGGGGCAGGGTGGACTAGATGGTCTCTGAGGGGCTCCCACCCCAGGCCCAGTGCTGAAGTCTTATGACTCCAAGATTCCACGGGAGTCTGCGTTTCCTATCCTGACTAAGATAAAGCAGCAAAACGACATGTAGGATGATGTTTTTCTTGCCTGCTGCTTCTTATGAGTCTCAGCAATGACTTGGCTGAGGATTTTTTTTACAAACATTAGCTAGCTGCTCGCTCCCTATGGTGAGCTTAGACAGTGCTGGGGCCTGCAGTCTGCGTCCCACTCCCTGGCTAAAGGAAGACCTGTGGCCACAGAGAGGAGAGATGACCTCAGTGGCTCACCGGGGGCCCAGGTTCACCAGCAGCTCCATCCTGTCCAGGAGATCCAGTGGGTCCCATGAAAACATCAGTTCCTGGTTTTCCTGGAATCCCAGGTAAGCCAGGTGGGCCTGGGGGGCCTGGAGGACCCTAAAAAATAAACAGCCTGTTAAGAAACAGCAGGGGAGGGGATAAATATATCCCGAGCATATATGTTCTATCCACTCTCTCCATTGTTTACAGCAACCCTACGAGTAGATACCGGTGCTCCCACTTAGCAGATAGGGAAACTGAGGCTCAGTGAGATGATATAACTTGCTAAAGGGGTCACACACACACAGCTAATTCATGGAAGAGCTGGGATTTGAATCCAGGTCTTTCTGGGCCCATTAGATCATGTTTTCTCCTTAGTTGTATGTACACAATAAAAATCCATTTCACTGGAATCCTCAGAGATGCTCTGGTTAGTTTCTTTTCTGATTGACAGGTCAGTCAAAAACTGCTTCTTCAGCCTCTGTCTGGGTCTGCGGATCCCACCAGCCTGGAAGACCCATGCAGTGAATCCTAAACCCTTCCAACCCTGCCATGATGAGTGGGCAGAGGGCAACTCAGTAGCACCATCTATGTGGAGACTCAGAACAGGGGCTCAGAGGACGAGATGGAGGTGAGGTTGGGGGCCGGGGGCAGTGGTGCTAGCTGTGGCTGGAGAAGGGAGGTGCTCCCTGAGGGGCAACTTAGAGACATACTAGTGGGGGCTTATCCTTGGGCAGGAAGCCAGAGAAGCAAGGAACATCAGAGGGAGCAGTGGTGTGGAGAGTAAGGCAGGGGTCACCTCAAGGTATGGGGTCACGGCAAGAAGAGTCTGGAAGCTGAAGTGTGAAATGCGGCCTAGAGAAAAGGCCAGTAGGTCTCTGGGATGGGTGAGGGGTGGGGACAGAGGCAGTCTGTAGAGGTGAAGGTCATGGACACACCTGCTGCCAGGGAGAGGAGGCGAGTGGCGAAGTGGAGGTGCTAAATATAAACTTAGGCTCATACTCAGCTAAAACAAAGCAAAACTACTGACATGGAGAAATACATACAAAGATAAACAAAGAGGGAAAAATAAAAGGAACTCCCAGGGGCCCACCGTCTGCCTCCACAATTAGTGATGGCGGCCAGTCTGGTTTCATCTGGTGTCCCTCCCTCTAGTCCCTCCCTCTAGTCCCTCCCTCCCGCATCACTGTGAAGGCCACCCAGACACCAGGCCGTGTCATCCCTCACACTCACCCTTAGCAGCTCCTCACTGTGCCCCAGGTCATCAGAGCCAGAGCCGATGTCTGAGCCCCACACCAGGCCGGAGCCCTCAACCTCCGCTCCTACCTGCAGAGAAAAAAATTCTCATAACTTGGTTTCAATTGCCAGTCTCTCCCCAAGGACAGCCACATCACTGAAAGTTTTCCCACATTCTGTAGCTCTGTTAACTTCTGCTGCCACCTTTCCTTCTCACCCTTTCTCCCGCTCTACAGCTACTCTCCTTCCTCACTACCTCCCAGCTGTGCAGCTAACACTCAGCTGTCCTCAGACACAATACATGCTTTCACATCTTCGCCTCAGCCTCCTTTCCTGTTCTGCAAATCCCCACTCATCCTTCAAGGCCCATGGTCACCTCCTTCATGAAGCCAGATATGTTGCACAGCCAGGCTTGGATGCCCCTCTCACCCACTGCCTTGGGTGACTCTGAGAATTAAAATGATCCTAAAGACTTTCCAGAGTGGATGCTCTCTTAATTGTCCTTATTGTGCTTTTAAACCATTTCCTCAGGAGTCAGGGCGTCCATTTCCATTCATCACAGATCTCTGACACTCAACAGTAACCTATCTTCATTAGTAATGTGCCAGGATGAAGTACTGGGTGCTTGTGTCTCCTTTTCTCCTTTCTCTCTCACCTTCACAACCACCTAACTCCCCCCGCCCCCATTCTTCTCTTCTTAGAGCTTTAAAAAAAAATCCCACTATAAAAAGTCATAAGGGGATGGTAGAAACATCAAAATGTGTTAGGAACCTAACCACCCTCACAGTTCTACCACTTTGAGGCAACAACTGCTAACATTTTTAGGGAAGGTACTTCCTTCCAGGGTTTTTGCATATGTCTATTTTTAAATAGTTAAGACCACACAATATGCTCAAATTTATAAACAGCTTTTTTCACTTAACATTGTATGGTATTTTCCCCCCATCACAAAATACTCTGAATAAGCATAATTTTAAACTGCATATGTTCCATTATTTGAATATACTTGAATTCAACTAACCCCTGTTGGCTAGTTAAACCATGTCCGATTTTTTTCTACTATGGACAACACAGATTAAAATCCTTGTACACCAAGCCTTTTTACACATCAGACTCTTCTTCATGATGGAGTCTTAGAACAGAAGTTCCTGGGTCAACACTATGCAGTTTTATGGCTGTTAATATATGCTGACAAACAACTTTCCAGAAGTAATAAACCATCAGTACTCCCACCAGCATAGCTGATCTCACTACACCCTCAACAAGCCCCAACTTTTCAAAGCAGAAAATAAGAAGGACCTAAGGACAACTGATCCAGCTTCTTCAACAAATCAATGGCTAAGAGAAAAAAGTGGGAGACAACCATAGACTAAAAGAGACTTAAAAGACACATCAACCAAATGTCACATGTAGACCTTGTATGGATCCAGATTCAAACAAACATTAGTAAAAAGATTTTTTAAACTCCAGTATTAAACAATAGGAAAAAGCCATTGTTAATTTTGTTAGATGGATAATGACATTGTGGGTAAGGAAAACCAAAAAGGTCCAGATCAACCTATTAACAATACAGTATTTATGAGTTAACAATAAAGTATTTATGAGTTAAATGATACGATGTTTGGGATTTGTTTTATCCAAAAAGATGGTGGTAGGAGGTGGAACATATGAAGCACAATTGGAATGATGACTTGACCTCCCAGCCACCCTCTTTTACAGACAGCAAATGAGGCCCAAAGGAAAGAAAGGATGTGCGTGAAGTTGCACAGGTGCAGCAGGGTCACCGAAGCTCCTGTTGGGAGGGGCTTGATCGCCTCCCACGTGCACGCCTTTGATGCTTCCATTCCCTCTGCAGTCCCACCCACCTCTCAGGCTCCCCACTTCCAGGATGGGAATCTCCTGACATTTGAGATGGGCCTTTGCATCTTTGGGGAGCTCTGCCTGTCCAAAAGTTCTCAGTTCAATGTGAGGGCCACATGGGACACAGAGCAGGTGCCCTAGATTTTTACCTCTTGCTTTTGCCTCTACAGACTTCAGCTTCCTTGTGTGTCCCAAGCTGGGGGCCCCTAGGGAGCCCAAACTGAGCAGTTTGCAAGCCAAAAGGAAAACCCACCTGTGAGAAAGCCAGACACAGGCTCCTCCCAGGATTTCAGCCTTTCCTTCTCTCCTCTGCAAAACTGGCCAAGTCAAGTCTTCATGCCTCTACACCACTTACCGAAGTGACTGGAGGGACTATAGCTTCAGGAGTCACTGGGGGTACAGGGAGTAAGGGCCCCTCAGGGGGAGCACTGCCCGACCCTGACTCCTCTGGGTCAGCCCTGGAAAGGGGCTCCTCCGTTGTGGCTGCTGCTAAGTCTTCATCATCACCAGGACCCTAGAGCAAAACCCACAGGATGAGTCATGTCACCTAACCCGAGACACAATGTGCACATTGCAGCCTGCCTGGGAGTTTTGGTGACTGTCATTTCTATGGCACTGGCCCAATTTCAAAACACTTTCTTACCTACCACTGTCAGTACCCCCAACACATTCACAGAAGCTCAGACTCGTGACCCCCTTCTGAAATATGCATCTCCTCTAAGCCCCCATGCCCAGTGACGGGGCGTTCACTGCCCCTCCTCCCAGCAACCCTTCCTACATAGGCCGTGCTCTCTGAGAAAGTTCTTCCTGGACAAAGCTAGGAGGTGGCAGGGTCGGGACAAATATCTGCTTCCCTGACCCCCTGTCATTGCCTCCTGCCTTCCTACAGTTAGTGCCCCACCCCCTCCGTCCCAAACAAGGGCTCTAAGAGCCCTCTGAGAAGGTGCATCTGCTCCTTTCTCGGGATGCTGACCTCTCTGCCTCCTGGGAGCCAAGGAGAAGGCTGGGAAGCACTTACAAAAGTGACCACTTGCTCAGGGGCCCCTGTGGGTGTCACAGGAGGCGGGCTGCCCGTGGGAACCTTGCTGGGCTCCTCATCCTCATCGTCGCAAGTGCTGAGAGACATTTCTGCTGTTGTTGGACCCCCTTCACTGACTGGACCCTGAAACAGAACGGGCGTGAGGGGCCATGGGGAGGAAACTGCCAGGCCATCAGGGCCCTAGTGCCCCTTCCCTTGCTCATCTAAGACCTCTTGAATTGTCCCTTCCATCTCCCAGGGTCCCCTCCAGCACACGTGAGTGTGCACAGCCCCACTAACAGGACAGCCACCACCTCCACAGGGGGCCTTCCTGTTTCCAGACAGCTCTGCTGGTTAAGTTCTAGTTTCTACTGAGTCAAGACTTGGCAGAGCAGGGACCTGGTGCCTAGTTTTCTCACCCTATGACAAGGGCTTTTCCTTTAAAGAAGTGGGGGGCCGAGGGAAATGAGGGGTGAGGGATGAGAGATAAGGGAGAAGAAGGCAAAGAAGGAGGTGGTGACCCTTGGGTTCATTAAAACAGTCCATGGGGCTGGCTGCCCAGAGGCCTGGAGAGCCGCCTGCTGAGGAGGGCAAACCCTCCCCCGAGTTTCACTGGGTTGACGTCAGGCCACAGGCGAAGGCTGGGAGCAACTGTGTGGAGTTACTTCAAAGGCCAGTGCTGTTGGTGTGCGATGGCCTGACACCTCC